CCCCCTTCCCCGCCCCTCCCCGCCCATCCCCGCCCCTCCCCGCCCCTCCCCGCCCGGGGGATCGCTCATCTGCAATCTAAACCCCAAATTCTTAGGGATTATCAAGGGTTCTTCTGATGCACACCCTCTCTCTTAAACAAAACAAACTGGAAGTCCAGAAACCCTTCCAAGCCCCTAATCCCCTAAACCCTAAAGCCATTGTCAAAGCAAGTCTGGAAGACCAAGGGGCGGCTGTCCCAAGAAAGCGGTGAACTTTTTTGGGCCAGATCCCGTGGTAGTGCAGAACCATCCTACAGACCGGTTCCCGGCCGGGATGGCATTTGGTTGGCGTGTATCGTGTTTGGGGTGGGTTCATGATGTGTGTTGACAGGGAATTTTAGCACCGAATTCTCCAATTTGATTTTTTTGTTCGACCGTTCAAGGGCAAGGAGTACCAGGCAAGAAGTTTAGCCTAGGGAGTTTTTCTACCGTTCAAGGGTAAGGAGTACCAGGTAACCAGGTTAAGGGAGATACTTTGCGGTCGTGCTGAGCAACTTCCAAGCAACTGTAGCCAAAGTGAGCTTGCTTGAAAGAAAATTCCGATGCCAAGGTCTGAGGCATACTTGAACCCCAAAAGTAGGTAANNAAATAATGGCCCAAAACCCCTAGAAATAGTTACCTGGAACCCAAAAGTCGGTAAAATAATGGCCCCAAAACCCCTAAACATAGCCCAACAGGCAATTGTTTACATACTTTTGGTGTTCAGGTAGGTTCATGAGGCACGGATCAATTCTCCTTTGTCTCACGGTCTTCTACAGCAAGTCATTCAAGAGTTACTGTGTCAGCCAGCTGTCATGGTTTATGGTTTACGCTTGATTTCTGATGTGTAGAAAGAGACCGTAACCGATCCTGCTTACTCTCGCTGCCGATTATCCCCTCCCCATAATCATGAATCCCTCCACCCCCATAAACAGGGTAATTTAGAATAATCTCAATTCGCTACCATTCCCTAAATAAACCACCATTTAGAATATGGTCGGGTGAGGTCGCTTTAAATTGCCCAGCATGAGTAGCTACCCTCTGTATACTACCGCGCGCGGACTAACCCTAAACCCTATGACCAGAGGGATGGAAATCATAAACCAAGGCCCCCTAAGATTTTGAGTCCCAAAGGACCCTCCATACCACATCTGTTTCATATCCTTAGGGTTTAGAATTGAGGCTCTAGGGTTTCAGCCCTAGACCCTAGACCCTAGTAATACTTCTGAGAAAGCTCTGGGGTAGATGATAAGGATGCTAAGCACGTCTTAATTATGAGAGACCTTGAGGGCACATGCTGATGAAAGTATATGACGGACTTCCAATTTCATAGGGATGTATGATGCCAACCTGCAACCTGCCCTATTGCTTACCGAATCCTACACCCTGAACCCTAGACCCTAAACCCAACGCATTCCTTAAGATCCTGCTTGCTCTCGAAAGGCTCAGGGCCAAAGGACCCAAAAGCAAACCCAAAGCTCAACCTTAGACGGACCCCCACCCTGCAATAGTGACTATAATAAAGAAGATTATATTAAAGCCCTATGATCTTGCTGCTATACCACTGCTTCAGGTGGGCGGTCCTCCTAAGGTCTACCTGGACACCGGAAGCAGGCAAAACATGGTAAGACTATGGCTCAAAATCCCTAAAACTCGTCAAATAGGCCACTGTTCTAGAGCTCTCGGAGTCCAGATAAGGAATTTCCGCGTGGATGGCTTCCGCATGTAAGCTTAGCCCTTATGGACCGTCTAATTTTCCCATATAAGGGTTACATGAGCTTTATCTTACACCCTTAAACCCTAAATCCTAGACTCTAAGCCCTAAACCCTTACCCTAAATCCTAAACTCTAAGCCCTAACCCCCAACCCTAAACCCTAACCCTGAACCCTAAACCCTAACGCTAACCCTTAACCCCAAGCTCTAAACCCTAAACCCTAACCCTTAACCCTAAACTCTAAACCCTATTACTATAACCCTTGAACCTAAACTCTCAACCCTAAAGCCCTACCCACGTTGCAACTCCCCTCCGGAATTCCCTGAGCCCTAAAGCTGCTGTTCCACTGACAGCCTCCCGGTTTAGGGTTTAGTTGGGGTCTAATTTGGGTTTCATGAGGGTTTAGGGTTTAATGAGGGTTTGGGGTTTAATTAGGGTTTAGGGTTTAATTAGGGTTTAGGGTCCCGGTTGAACAAGTACCTTGCATGGGCGACATGTGCTGCAGGCAGCTAGAAATTCTACACACACGGACTTCGGGAGGTGCCAACCAACAGCCCCCAAATTCTAAACCCTATATCCCCTTGACCATCCCCTCCCCAAACCTCACATGGGACCCTGTATGGCCGCTTTCTGCGTGTAGAGCCGTCTCGGGGTCCCAAAAAAGTTTTGGGCACGCATATCCCTAATCCCTCAAAGCGGAATATAGAACCTAAGAAGCACTCATGCAGACCCTAAAAATAAAATGGCATTTTGCCACAATAACGGGGGCCTAAAGTCGATACCAAAACACTATAATCCGTAAAATGGGAGCCCCCCCAAAATGGACCCGCGAAACCCCCAAATAAGCACTAAACTGTACCGTAGTCTCCTTAGACCTATAATGAAAATAGTATTGCTAATATTTCCTTAGGGTTATACTTTAATAAAACTACAAATCATTCCTAAGGACAGTACAGTGTAAACCCCTCCAAGGGTACTATAATAGAAATTAAACACAATTCCTAAGGACAGTACAGTCCATAAACCCTAAACCCTAAAACCTAAACCCCTCCAAGGATCCGAAGCAGGCGTTCGGCATTCACAGAATGTGTTGAGCTGTTGTCAGCAGACAAGTCGCCTGCGTTCTTCTTGACCATTGTGGTTGCTGGGTTTCGAGTTTTGGGGCTTAGGGTTTAGGGTTTAGGTGTAGGGTTTGGGTTTTTGGGGGGTTTAGGTTTTAGGAAGCACAATAACTGACATGGTCAGGTTCTGGATTGTAAACGGTATAAAGTCGAAGTATACATAACTGGCCTCTAGGGCAAGGACCTGTTCAACGCGATCCTATAGGCTTATGGGCGTGTCGCGCAAGGGGGTCACCTAGAGACCCCAAGTAGGAGGAGCATCAGAAGAACGGCCATATTAAGATCCCTCTAATGATGACAACAGCTGTTTTGAGGTCTATATTAGGCCCCCTGTATTTATAACCCTAAACCCTAAACCCAATATATGGAACCTACCATATTAAACAGAAACGAAAAGCGGTTCAAAAGAATCTCCAAGTCGCGGTCAAGGTACGACAGAAGTTTGCCGCTGACCTTCAACTTTCAGGGAGGGGCTGATCAGGGCTTTTAGGGTTTAAGGTTTAGGGGTTTAGGGTTTAGGGTTTAGGGGCTTTGAGAAGGTGCTGAAACAGGCCAAAAAGCTACGACACAAATCCTAAAACCCCAAGCCCTAAGTACAGTGCAGACTTCGTCCCAGGGAACTACACCCCAAATCCAAACACCGCTGACAACCAGGCAAACCTGCCACAATCCCTGAGATGCCCCAATCAGGGCCTAGTATGGGCACGGTTGAAACCCCATATCCCCCCCATATATACCCCTATCTATCCCCTAAGCCCTAAACCCTAAACCCTAGACCCTAATTTGGGTAACCCTAAACCCTATACAACCCCTACGTATCCCCTATATTCCCTTCAAAGGGATTTAGGGCTCGGGGTCGCTAGGGTAATTTACCTTAACCTAAGCACCAAACCCTTAACTGGAAACACGCGGTTTAGGGTTATAGGGCTGAACAAAGCAAGGCACTAAATCATTCACACGACCAAGGTAGATGGGAGCCACGTCCCGGGCCATCACTGCCCAGCGGTCATTCAGCCCACCCCAGTCCTTTCGCGTTTAGGGAGGGGCCTAAACCCTAAGTCCTAAACCCTATAAGGTTCAGGGCCCAGTGGGAAGCTTTGGCATCTGAACATGACGGTTTAGGGTTTAGGATTCTGATTGTAGATGGTTTGAATTCATGTAGGGACCCAAGAATGGGTAGCTGGGCTTCCAAGGAACACTACGGCCACTAGGAGCCACATCCTCTGGCCCGAAAAACAGGCATGCGATTTCAGCCTGGCCAGGTTTCAAGACAAGTCTTTGCCCCCATTCCTCGAACTACTGTTTCTTTGTTCTGAAGGCTCCAAAACAAGGACCCCCACAAGTTTGTTTAGGGTTTAGGGTTTAGGGTTTAGGCCTGAAGCCTGACTCTGGTTTTGCTCAGTTCGGAGGACAACGCTTGCAAGAAAGAGTCGCAGCTGTTGAAACTGGCACGGTGCCAAAAGATATACCAAAGACCCCACTTACTTGTGGTACACCCCTGTCCTCCACGTCAGGGATCCAGATGCGCCCAGGGCCCAAAGAAGCCATAAGACGCAGGGGCCTCAGAGATATGCACGCACACACATTAAAGAGCATCCCGGTACGTATGCGCGTAGGCACTTTACGAGACTTCTTTTTGCTAGCAGCGGAGGAAACTAGAGGGGTTGCAGTGGTACGTCCTCAGGATAGCTGAGGATAGCCCAAAACGAGAAAAGGGAAAGCACACCACGAGGGTGTACAAGTATGGAGGTAGACTAGCTACGGCAAAGGGGCAAAGAAACAATAGGAAATTCAACGTGCTTCCCGAGGCAAAGTTTTGAATCCTTCCTAAACACTGGGTCAGGAAGGCTTTTTTCATATTGCTTTCAGGCATACATGGCGCCACGCTCTTTTGAAGCCTTAAACCCTAAACCGTTTTCTCACTCATACGACAAATGCCCCTCTGATTTCCCATCACCCGGGGAATGGAGGAAAGGACGCCCATAGTCGTAGCCGTAGATGGGTAGTTCCTAACATCAGGGTCCTATTTTGGTACCCCCAAGTAGTAGGTGCTGTAGTATAATCTCAAACCAAAGGGGGCCCATAGTTTTGAGAATTACCAAGATATTCCCCTGCAATATCTTTGAATTTCCAGTTTCTTTTCCACGCCTTCATTCCGTGAACCCTAAATCCTAAACACGCCCTAAATTCGACCAAAGAGGCGGATGTGGGGCAAGGAAGTCCAAATCAGCACGTAGGTAAACCTTGAAGGCTAGGTTCATTGAGTTTGGGAGTTAAGCTAAGGACTTAGGGCCCAGGGTTGATGTGGAATAGGGATGACTTTGATTTTGGAGAAGTGGTGAAGCTACTCTAACTCCCCTATATACATCCAGCTTCCAATTCATGTTCCATGCTCTGTTCCATCTGCTTCTGATTTTCTGAGTTGCTGTTCAGGAACTTAATTTATATTACTTTGTTGGGGAAACCAATTTCATTACTGAATATACCCATGATGGTAACTTAAACCCCAACCCAGTAGTTGTAGGGTCCTGAGGCCAGGCTTGCAAGCTTAAGGTCGCCTCCGGGGTTGAGGGGTTTAAGGTTTAAGGATTTTAGGATTTAGGTTTTGGGATTTTAGGGATTTGGGGTTTTTGGATTTAGGGTTTAGGCCAAAGCAAGAAGTATGGGCCTCTAAGGCCTCTAGGCAGCTAGGGTTTCAGATTTAGGGTCGCTGTTGTGAGTACTTGCTGCACTGGATGTGCCCACTTGGCTGAACTCAACCCTCAACCCTAAACCCTACACCTATAGTCCCCATTGAGTACGTAGATCGAATATGGCTTTGGGTATAGTATAACAAGATCTCCATATGCCCAATATTCTATCTGCTTAAGGGGGACTGTAACCTTAAACCCCAACCCCTGCAACAATCTCACAGGCAACTCCCCTAAACCCTAAACCCTAAACCCTCAACCCTAAACCCTAAACGACATTCGAGGGACGACCCATGGAAAAGACTGCCCTTCCCTCTCCATCTCCTGGATCTTGCCCAGGCAAGCCTCCTTGAGCCGTTGTAGGGTTTAGGGTTCAGGGGGTTTTCGGCTATCTCCTGTAGCAAAGCATCACAGTATTGTTGGGTATAGAAGGAGGTTCGCTCTAGTTAGAAATACCCATGAACCTACCCCAACAATCTGTACGCAGTGTGTTTGTGAGCGGGCACCGGGTTCCTGGGAATATGGGCTCATAGATAGGCCTCATGAAGAACAGCTAATAATTACTGATGCTGGGAACGCCTAGACTCAACTCTATTGTAAATGCCCGAGTTACAACTAATTGGACTTGTAACCCTACTGGCCCCTCCCGTACAATCCTCGTGCAATGCCACTACAGGGAACCAAGGATACTTCTCAAGACATGTACGGCTGAGGGAGGCTTCAGTGAGGGGTCAGATTGAGGGAATGTAGAGGCCTCTGTAATTCTCAAAATTATGGACCCTTCGTGGTTTGGAATTATATTACGACACCTACTATTTAGGGGTACCAAAATGGGACCCTGTTTGTAAAAACTCCCCATATGTTTTCAGAGTATGATTACACAACTCGTCCCTAAACCCTAAACTCTAAACCCTAAACCCTAAACTCTAAACTCATTAGACCACCAAGCCCTCCTGTACTTTTCCAACACGGGAGAAAAATCAGGCCAAGACTACGGTCAAGCGTTTCAGGGTTTAGGGTTTAGGGTTTAGGGTTTAGGGTTTGGGGTTTAGGGTATTTGCAGATGAGATGCATAAATACGGGTGGGGGAACATAAGTGATCCCCCAAATCGTGGTGTATACGCTCACGGTAAACACCTCGAAACCTCCCAGGTAGGGTTCCATGTTTGCCTCGTCGAGTGTGACTTGGCCAACTGTTAAAACCCACACCCTCAGCCCCGAAACCTAGACACCCAAAACCCTAAAAGCTGGTCTTTCAGACAGAGTAGGTAGGGTGCCTTCATGTTCCAACTCTGATAGTGGCCCGTCATGGTGACGCCGTCATCGCTTCGGCCAGTGAAAAGGTTCTCGAAATTTCGCGTCCACCACGTCCGATTCCTCATGCGCTGGAGGATGTGGTTTAACAACTGCACCAAAAAAAACACTGCGCAGCAACAGCCACAAAGCCGGAGCATGCAAATAGGAGGGCACGCCCTCTTCTGCAGGTATGGGGTAGAGGGATACTGATGTTCCGGCCCAGCTAATTGGGTTCCGTTTTGTGTATGATTGATATGGGAGCCTCACAGCTTATGACCCTAAGGTATCCTGATCAAATGAGCTATATCCTAAACTCCTTAACGGGGGCTATATGGGGGATTTTAGGGGGGACCACTATAGGGGGTACTAAGGGGGATACTAGGAGTTTAGACTATGGCTCAAATGATAAGGGGGTCCTCTAATAGAACCCGCAATGGTGTCAATAGGCACCAAACCCGAAGCAGTAAATCCAGAGCCCGAATGTCGAGGTGCTCACAAGCAGCCTTAGCGGTTCGGGGTTTAGGGTCCCGAAGCACATCCATCTAACCGTGAAGTCTCAGTCACAGAATCCTGACATCAAGGCAGAAAGCCGCTGTTCACCTGTTTCCAGGTAACCGAACAACCTACACCCATATAAAAAGCCCGAAGCCCCCAACAAAGTGCAAAACACCTCACTAAGCATTCCTAAGTAATCAGCCCTAAACCTACAATCAATAACCCCAAACCCTATAAACACTGTAAGCCCCATGAACCCTGTAAACCCTAAACTCTAAATCCGAGATGGTAGCCAAGACTCTCCCAGTTGGGCTGAGCATGCAGAAACTTTCGCTTAAACTTGAAGTATGCCTTCCTGAGTTGGGTTGTACACTACACACACGGTTTAGGTTTCCCTAAACCCTAAACCCTAGGGTTTAGGCTTAGGGTTTAGGGTTTAGGTTGTGGGGGCGAGGGCATGTAATGAGGCGCTTGTGGGATCTATAGCAGTGTGTAATTATATGGGGCTAAAAGACATTACCTGCCTGGCTATAACTTAAGGCCCAGCTATGCGCATACATATACGTCTATGCACATATATAGATACAAAGATATATGGGCAGACGCATAGTAAACAAGTGATTCAGTAGGATTCTGGATGATACATGCAAAGTTTGTACAAGAACTTGGGCACCGCAATCCAAATCCTTAAACACGAAACCCATGTGAGCTACAGTCAGTCACTACTTCCCATACAAGTATTGGACATGGGCTCCTTATAGGGGATATGTTGAGGACTAGACCAAATTATCAAACGGATCCCTATGTCCACCCTTAATGGACTCTTGGTAACCCTTATATTCACAGCAGCTCATGTGGTTGGTAAATGAAAAGCTTGAAAAATCATCTGGGAACGGTAGCCCAAAACCCCAAATCCTACACCAAAACGCTCAACACTAAGCCCACGTAGTTCAGGGGCTTTTGTGGGTGCGCAAGATCTCCCGGGAGCTCACAGAGTGCTTTGGGTTTCAGGTTGGGATCAAAGGACCCCTACAAGAACGACTACCAATGTATTGGATTACTTAAATCCGCATACTAGCCACAACCCAGAACCCCACTACATATTATAGCTTGGGACTGCCCCTACTCAGTAACAGCTGTAAAATGATTATAAAATGGTTATATGTAGCCTTTAATAGGACCCCTAACATAGACTGTTACTGAGGGGTGCAGTACCCAAATTATCGCCAATTTTCTCATCTTCTGAAGCAGTTTTTCGGCTTGTGCAGGCCGTAAGTATTCGTGGTATAGACTTGAGGAGAAGGAAGTACAACCGCGCATGCCCCCAAAACCCGTCCAAAATAGAGAGGAGCAAAGAATCAAAGGCACGTAGAGAATACTCATGTTCACACTGCCTAAACCCCCAATAAGTAGGTAGAATGAAAGCCCCAAACCCCTAAATATGGCCCAAAGGGCCATTATTCTACATACTTCTGGGGCTCAGGTCCACACCCTTCACCCGGCAGCCTGAACCCCAAACTGCTCCATGGCTCTGAAACTCAAGCCAGGTCCATAAAGCTTCTTCAACTCCAAACCCTGGAAAAACGCTAAGGCCCCCAAAGCTAAGCTCAAAACCCAACTCACGATACCTTAAACTCACACTCCTCACACCTGTTTCCTTGTGGGAATATGTGTGGTGTGCTTTTGTTCTTTGTTCCCTTGTAAGGCTTAGGCTTCCGGGTGTAGGCTGTATAAGGTTTTGAGGCTGAGGGTGCCGGAAGCCGCAACGTAAACCAAACAGCCTACGCTGGAACCTCACAGTTAAGTGACAACCCTAATCGGACCCTAATATACACCTCATTATCCCTTGTAGCCATTTTTACAGGGTGGAGGGTCCACCTAAAATATATACCTACACGGACCGTTGGGGTTTGACGAGGCAGGAAACTCCGGATCCTCCACACAAATCACATGGCCGAGCTTGTCGTCAAATGCTTCTTGCAATTGCTCCTTCCGGGGCTACGAGGATACCAGTAGTAGTTGCAATTTTCCGTACATACGGGGGCTTCCCAAAAATGACGGGTACAAGTTTAGGAGTTCCGATGATAATGAGGATTTTGTCTTTTGGGGATTAATGCAAGGGTCCCCTATCCATGGAAACTAGCATATATATACACATATATACACACATGTGCACTATGTACAAGGCAAAACGAGTTTTACACCTAGACCCTCCACCTACCTCTATAATACCCAAACACCCATCTACTCCTAGTAAAAGGGTTTCAAGGAGGGTCCTGGCACACAGACAAAGTAAACTCAGTACTCACTTTGACCCTCTAGAGAAAAGGGCTATCCATCTCGAACCCTAGACCCTAATCCCTAAACCCTAAACCCCCAAGCCCTGAGCCGCAAATCCTAGGCTGCAAGCCACAAGACCAACCCCAAAGCCCACACAAGGGATCATAATACCACACGGCTTAGACCTCAAGGTTCGGATTATATAGGGCGTAATACGGCCTAATAGGATTGTGATTCTGAACCTGAGGAGGGTTATTTTTTTGGTGGGGGGGCCAGAGTATTGTAAGCCTTGACATATAGGAATTCTATAGTAACTTGAACTTGGCTTAAGCTCCATAGCGGCTACCCAAAAAAACTAGCTGGCTCGCCACTCCTTGACGGAAGGGCACAGCATCCTATTCGAGCCGACAGAAAGCACAGCCACCACTACGTAGCCTCTGCCTCTGCAATCACGTGGGGCTTTGAGGGGCTCTTTTGAGATTGCAGATAGCCTGCAACTGAATGAACATTCAAATTTAGGGTTTAGGGTCTGTAATCTCAAGCAAAAGGTTGGCCTGCCGTTCTCCTATAGTCTTTCATTGGAGTTTGAAGACGTCGTTCATGCAGAAACGCTATGGAGGATTGGACCCCCAGTCGTGGCCACCGAAAACTCCCCAGGAATCAAGTACCCAAAGGATCCTAAGTAGCGATATAGGGAGTACTAACCTAAACCATATTATTACTTCCTAGCAAAGATCCCCACTTTAAACCATATAGATATTTAGGATCCCTTGGTGTAATTTGTCCATTCCTTCATTTCCTACCCTAGACGTTATCTCTTCCTATCAAGTCCATCTCGATCCCCATACTGCCGTGATGTGCCCCTCGACCAAATTAGAAAACTCTACGCAGAGAGGACCTCTGCATATGAGATGACCTGGAATTCTGGGGTATCACGCTGGCGCCGGAACCCCAAACCCTAAACCCTAAATCCTAAACCCTGAACAAAAAATCAAAACTGGCTCATCGCCCAGGAGGTTTCCCAAGTAGCTGGAAGATCCTGCTCCTACAACAGTTTGGACAACAACATGGGCCGTAGTCCAAACTCATCGTATCCCCCTGAACAGCTCCTCTAGCACTCCCTTATATAATCCTCTATATAATTTCCTTCAGGGTTTTTAGACTATAGCTAAAATAGTACTCTTTCCCAAAGGGGCTCTGTGCAAGAACAACTTTGCCCATGCCTACAGCCTGAGACCCAGGAAGCCGGAATCTGGACCACGTAACCAGTTTGGGGGCCTAAAAATGACTTTCTATGAAGTTGTAAGCATTACATGTGGCGTAAGGGTAAGTAAAATTGAAAAAATCAAGCCGACCCATCTGTAGGCTTGATTATAACCTCAGGGAGGGGAACAGAAGTCTGAGAAATCTTTCCACAGTGATCCAAACCGTCCAGTTCTCAGTTTTTCACCTACCCTCAGGTACCCAAAGGGTCCAAGGTACCTATATGGTACAAAGTACGGTTTCTGTAGTAGTAACTCCCCTGATTGTTTGGGGTAAGTATTCCCTAGATAGGTAGTTTGGACCCTTTGGGTACCCTCAGGTACATTAAGGACACCTGCATAGTTTTGTGGGAACATGTCTATTTCCGCAATGTGTTTTTGCATTATAAGGATGACAATAAACTCGAAACACCGACAGCCACCTTTAGAATGCAAAAGCAGAAATACCCTGTGCCCCCAGAGTATGTAGAATAATGTCTTGTGTTTGGCTAGTTTTGGGATTTGGGCATCTTGTCGACCTTTGGGGTCCAAGACTTGCTAGCTGCGGGGTTTAGGGTTTAGGGCTGCTGAGCCCGCTGCCAGCCCTAAACCCTAAACCCCGCCTAGCCCACGTAGTGCAATGTTCATTCTCGCCAGTTGCATCTTCGTCGTCCGCGCGAAAACGCCCTCCACGCAAACAGCTGCGGCGGGCTTTGTAGCAACCTCCAGGGCTCATGGGGCTAAGCTTTAGGGTTTAGGGGTTTAAGGGTTTAGGGTTAAAAGGCGCAGGGCTTTCGCGTTTAGGGGTCTAGGGGTTTAAGGGTTTAAGGGCCGAGGGTGCCTGCCTTGGGCTCTAATGAAGTCTAGAAATAGTACCTGCTTTGGGTTATTTGGAGCCCTAGCTGGGTGCGGGACTTTGATGGGAACCCCAAGCAGGGAACCCTAAGAATATAGTAGGAACATACTAGGAATATACCGAAATATACCTACTAGGGTCCTTAATTTTCCTATTCTATCCTACTGTATTCTTGGGGTTCCATGCTTGGGGTTCCCATTAACGTTCCTTTAGTGACTCATTCACGCCCTCAACCTGCCTGTGCAAGTTCGCTCTGCTCAGCTTAAGTTGCGGGAGGCGTGGGTGTAGGGTTTAGCGCTTAGGGTTTAGGATTTGGAGTTTAGGGTTTAGTGTTTGGAGTTTAGGGTTTAGGTTTTAGGGTAAGGTTTAGGGGATTGCGGGCCAGGGCCCAGAAGCCCTGCGGGTCTCCGGATCACAGCGGTGAGTTTGAGAGTTGAAGGTCCCCCAGGTCCACTTTTCAATTACGTATATAAGTACTTTCCAACAATCCTTTACAAACAAAATCTTCTCCGACACTGGGGACAAGCCATCTCCAATAAGCTAGCTCTGCCAGGATCCAGGCAAAGGGCATTCTTCTTGCTACAAGCTATTGTTCTAAGGAGCTTGTAACCCTCTCAGAGTCTTTGGGGCCCCAAAATAATTACGTGGGAACCCCTTGGCCCCTGAATGTATGCTTTATACCCACATGGAGCCTCCTTCCTCGGCGCTATCATTCTGGCAGATTGGAACCCGGAACGCCACACTACATAAACCCTAAAGGATTCAGGGGTTGAGGCTTTAGGGTTTCCTAAGCCCCAAACCCAGGAGCTCTGAAAAATCAACCCCTCAAAGTGCCTTGACTTCCGGCAGCATTGCAGGAGGAGTTGTGAGCAAGTTGGGGTTCGACCTGAGTTCCGACAGGGTTGAAAAATCCGGGCTTTGGAGGTCCAGGCGTTAAAGCCCAAAGGGTCCAAAGTACCTATAGAGGGAATACTTACCCAAACAATAAGGGAAGTTACTACAGAAACCATACTTTGTACCAAATAGGTACTTTGGACGTTTTGGGAAAATTGGCCCTAAAGCCTAGAACACCTTAAGGTTGGTGGTTTGTTGGAAGGGAGGGCGCCGCAGCCGTCGTCAAAGAGCTGGGGTTTCTTGCTACATGCTTTTTTGTCTTACGAAGAATAGGCTTTCTCAGACCTGAAGGACCGCAAACCAACGTGTGAGCTCCAGTCAATATTACCCAGAAAGTTACTGGACATGGGTTCCTTATTAGGGACTATAAAAGGGGCCATACTAAACTACAAGAGGGACCCCTATGTGCACCGCTAAAGTCCCCTTAATCAGGCTAAACCCGAGAAAGACTGTGACCTGTCCTTTTAAGCTGGACTGTCTGGGTCAGTGTTTGTTTAGTGAGGATACTTTCCCAGTCATAATCAGCGGTGTTACTGCGAGCGCATACAGCTTGCTATCGTTGCTACTTGGCAGTTTCCAAAACTTGAAGAGTCCCTCCTTTATACCGCCAAATAGACATTCCTTCTCATAGGGAACCCCAGAATGGGACTACTTACTGCGGGAAACCGCCATATGGAGTTCCAGAACCTTGCTCCTGCAGTAGCAAGTGGCGTCATCTTGGCAACGCTGCGTTCCCCAACGTTTGCCTGCAAACCTTCCACACGGGACAGCGGACCCCTAAACTTAAAAGTCCAAACCGCCCAACCCCCAAGCAGCGTCGAATCCTGAAACTCTATCTAGTCTCCCCAAGTACCATCTACAGAGCCTAACAACCCACCCAGAGGACCTACATAGACCCTAGTTAAGGGTAGTGGGGGGGGCACTGGTAATTCTATACCTGTAGGCCTGCAGTCAAACCTCTTGCATCCCCCTTAAGAACCCCTATTATAGTAGTCCCGCATATAATCCCCTATAAAAACCCGAGCGAATCATCTGAGCCGCAGCAACTTGAAAGAAAAGGCTAGCGTACGCTGAGCAAGCTCTGGGCAACATTCCAGTGGCACCTTCCACAACGCTGAGGGCTTAGGCTTGAGGATTCAACGTTAGGGGCTGGGTTCTCAAGGTTCAGGGTTGAAGGCTTGAGAACCAAAGAGTGGTAAATGGACTTCCTAGGGTTCATGGGCCATGCGGGAGATACACGAATAACATCGACAGAAACAACCAACAAGTGCAACTCATCAATTCCCGAGCTGTGCTCCAGAGACCCTCAAAATATCCTCAATTGGGGATATGGCCCCTAACTGCCCTCAATAGTGAATACTTTACGCCCTAATGGTAGGAAGGTGGAGGGTCAAGGTTCCAAAGGCAGAGGGAATCGCAGAATGAGATCTACACCGGCTTTGTCGGGAGGAGGTATGACGGACCTTACCATGCCATATTAGTAGGGAATCGGAACTATGTGGGTTGAGAGAGTTTATGCACTATCCCCGCCGTGCTTGCCCTTTGCATCCGAGTGTCTTGCAATCTTGGGACTTTACCCTTGGCTTGCTAGGCCAAACTAATCCACGTTTAGGGTTCTTCCTAGACCCTCCAATGTAGTACTTTTTTTGGCAACCCTAATAAGAGTCCTAACCCAAAAACCATAACAAGCCCAAAAGGGAACTACATTGGAGGGTCCAGGTAAGGTGTTGGGGCCATCACCACGTCGTCTACCAACACCCTCCAACTACCCTCCAGTATAGCCCAAGTACCCACCATGCAGCTATTGGGAGCCCTGTGACCGAAATTAAGGGTACTGGGCAGGTGTTGGTAAGAGACACTGATACCGTTTGTCAGACCCCTTCCACCCTGTGTCCTGAAAGAAGATTCCTCAGCCGATGTTCCAGACCATCATGGGAGTTTCCCAAAATTAGGGGTACCCATTTTGGGGTCCTTATAATAAGGACTATAGTATTTTGGGGTCTATATTGGGATCCCCCTAAATAGGGACACTACCTCATTCATCAGCCCTAATTTAGGGCTGATGGTTTCGCGCTTCGGCTTATGACAGTCCTGTCACTGGGAAAGCCTTGTGCTCCCAAAGGCCTTCTGGCTCACTCGTAAAGAAGGTCTTTGTCCATGGTTTCATAACCCAAAGGCTTCATGCAGCTATATGGGATATACTTGGGCCCTAAAGTAGTTATATGGGAACCTCTTTGGGCCCTAAGTATATACCATACAGCTACATGGAGCCTTTGGGTAATTCTTGGCTTTCTTTGCGGGTGCTCTCCCAACGTCAGGGCCGCAAGGCCGAATCATAGCTGTGGCAGTGGATATCTGGAGCTCTCAGTTTGTCAGCCAAATGGAGCCTATATGTCTCTCTGGCTGCACAACACATCCTGTTTACGGCGTGTCAATACCGTTGAGAAGGGGGAAACAAAAGGAGTCGACAACGCGTTCCACTCGATTACTCCTCTATGTTTGCGATTTACGTAATCTCTCAATTGTTCCAAAGCCCGTCAGCGCAGGAACGTGTCTGAAAACACACCTCAAACTACGGTACGGTTAGGCTAGACTCCGCAACGAAGGCGTTTTGGAAACCCTAAACTCTATTCATACCGGAAATCTTACACCTTTCAGAAGGACAGAAGCTGAGGTTGCCAGCCTCTTGAAAGTTGGATGCTTGGCGCTTCTTCTCGCAGAGCTGAAACAAGCCGACTTGACATTCAAGAGCGAGATCCTTCAGAGCTGGCTTTGGATGCATGATCCCCTCTCCCTAATCTTGAACCCTCCCCCCACTCCCGTAATATCATTTGTTCCCACTCTCTCTATCCATATATCTACCTATCTACCTATCTTTTTGTGATTTGTGGTATACCATGATTGGCATACTTGATAAGATCCTGTAGGGCCTGTAGGGTTCAGGCCGTGAGCTTCTCAAAGTGGAGAGCGGGTACCCAAGAAACCCCCAGGGGCTAATGGGACTGAAGAGGGGATTATTGGAGTGCTTACTACGGATTGGGTAGCCGCCATCTGAGAAACTGCCATGTGTGGGAATTTGGTTTTGAAGTTGAGGCTTCAGTCTAGGGTTGAGGCTTTATGGTTTGCTAAGGCTTTTGGATTTTGTCTGACGTAATACCTCATGATGTCAACAGAAGTCGACACCCCCCAAAGAAGTATGGCATAAGCCTCGGGTAAATCCGCAACCCTAATTCCTGAAACCTTCAGCCCTTAGATCTCCAACCCGTGGGTCGATCCCCCACCCAGTAGTGGGAACCACAAAGGACTTTTGCAAGTATACTGATGCCCTCTTAACTCCATATCTAAAGGCTACACTTTAGGGGGATTGGCCTATTTCAACCCTCATCCCAACATGCATCACCGTTACGCACGCTTCCATATGCCCCACATCCCTCTCGTAGAATATAGCCCGGGGTTCATGCGAGACCTGCAGGAGTGCGTGGTGAGAGATGAAGGATCCAATCATCCCTAAACAGTTTAGGGCTTAGAATTAGGATGTAGGATGCCGGATCTTGCATCTAGGCTACAAAAGTTTAGGGAACGAAGCTAACGGTTTCGGAAACCTCCCAAGAATCTCCCGAAGTATCGCAGGAGCCAGCCAACCCTTAGGGTTTAGGCTTTAACCCTCAACTCCAAGAAGCCCACCGCTCTATTTATGTGAGCCTTATATGCCCTGAACCCCACAAAGCACATCGGAGCCTGCTTGCAGTAATTCGGCACCACAGTCAGCGAGAAACCCTGACGGACTAACGTGATGAAGACCAACAGGATCTGCGCACTGCAGGATCAAAGGACGTCAGGCTTTCGCCCTTAAAAAGCTTTATGGGGATTAGGAGGTACAGAAAGATTGGGATGTATGGGGCTTGGGTATAAGTAACTACGTATATACCCGCCCGCAAAAAGACAGGCAGCAATCAGTAATCTGCGCAGGCCCTGGTTTTTGGGCTGTCACATTTAGCTTGGGGGGATGACATATTGACCCAACCGGCATAGTCATGATTCCATTTAAGCCATAGTCCAGGGTAGGGTCCTCCAGCTTTAGAACTACCCTAAACCCAAAACCCTAAACCCTAAACCCAAAACCCTAAACCCTTGAACCCTAAACCAATACATATACAATATGTTCAACTCAGGGGACCTGCAACCCTAGTCATCACCATAAGTCAGAACCCACTTATGACACAGCTGATAAGTAAGGGTTTAGGGTTGGTTTAGGGTTTAGGGTTTAGGGTCCCTCCAATTAGCTTCTTATTTTACCAGCATTGGTGGGTGGGGTGGGTACTTTGGCCCAGTCCCCAATTTACAATTCTATCTGGTCTTACTGCGTACATAGGAATGTGTGATGCAGGGATGAACGATTAAACGGGGTTTGGGCTTGGGGCCCTTGCGACGGAGTCCGGGTAAGACGGATTCTGATGTTTTGTGGGGTCTTCCGTAAAGAAGCCATCTAATTTAACGTTTGCAATTTGCTCGCAA